GGCCAAGCCCTACAAGGAGAGACTGAGGGCCCTGGATCTCTTCAGCCTCCACAAGAGAAGGTTGAGAGGTGATCTTGTGGCTGCCTACACATTCATCACAGGGGGCAGCAAGGAATAGGAGATGCTCTGTTTACCAGGGCACCCCTTGGAGTAAGTAGGAACAATGGCCACAAACTGACATAGAGCAGATTTAGGTTAGACATCAGGAAGATCTTCTTTACGGTAAGGGTTGCCAGAATCTGGAATGGGCTTCCAAGGGAGGTGGTGCTCTTCCCTACCTCGGGGGTCTTTCAGAGGAGGCTAGACATGCACTTGGCTGGGGTCGTTTGACCCCAGTGCTCTTTCCTGCCCAGGGCAGGGGGTTGGACTCAATGATCTGCTAAGGTCCCTTCCAACCCAAACATCTATGAATCTATGTTTGTTCTTTCCTACAGACAAATTTAATGGGCTGTCAATAATGGTGGTGAGTCAAAGAGAGCTCATAAAAGAAATACATCTAGAAGCACACTAAATTATCTATTTGCACATAAAGTCTTCCTTTTGTAATAAACTTTTTCAGGGCTACATCAGCCTACTACCTTCGATTGATCTCTGGTGGATAGCCAAATAGCAAAAAGCCAACCCTTGCCATGAGCAGACGAGTAACTTAGTTCAGAGGCACACTGAGTTTGCTAGATCTACTCTCAGGGCATCTCTAATTTAGGGAAGCTGGAGTTGGATAAATAAATACGATAAAAGCCTGCAGATAAACTATTGTATGTGACTTAAAATGCCTATACCAAAACACCCAATTTAATAACCAAAATATCCACAGTAACAATAGCAAAATACAATGAGAATTTATATTTGTCAAGTCAAACAGTGGTAGGCAAGCACTGGGATTTTAAAATACTGTTTCCCTACATCTCATATTCTGTCACTGCATAACCACTCTAAAGAGCACATTCTTGTTCAATATATATAATCTCTTCAGTGCATAGTTAACTATTCAAATTTAGCTAACGTACCATTTTTGCTAAAATATAAAGCTAAACAAGATCTCAGTCACAACCACAAAATCTTTTTTAATGTATTCCTTGTGCTACTTCTGAATATTAATAAAAATTAATAATTAATTTTGCCTTTGGCATTGCAAGATATACTAGTTTTAATTAGTGTACTGTACTCCTATACAATTAAAAAATAATTGATGTCCACGCTTATTGGCGGTCTCTGTGATCTCTTTTCCTGTTGTTGTCAACAAATGCCTCAAAAAACAAGTTCAAGAATGTTTTGCTGTCCACTTGATTTACACACCAAAAGTAACAGACAAATCTTTTATGATGAAACAGAACAGTTTTCTGTTTAAATTATACACAAGTATATTAACTAGAAAGAGAAAATTAAAAGCTTATGGCTACAAGAAATAATTGAAAGTCTATAAAAATGTTTAATCTATCAACACATTTGCCTGGAAAATATCAATGGGTGACAGAATTCCTTGGCTCATACGAGGAGTGGCCATTTTGTATTTGTTATGTCTATTCCATCAAGTGTTTAATTTTGATGCCCCCCTTATTCAGCTTCAGTTATTTAAATTCAGCATATCAGGTTACTGTTTTGCGATATCATTTTAATTGTACCATGAACTACTTTGTTATATAACACTGGAGTCTCTACTTTTTTACTCTCAAAGAATGCAGGTTGAAGTATTAAAGTGTAAATCTCCATGGGGGAAAAAACTAACTTCCCTTCAAAGTATTTGCATCAGGAATCTAGAATAACAGAAGTTTTCTTTCTTAGAACCACTGAAACAAAGACATCAAATCCCAGAGAGCAAATTCTCTTGCATAGTTACAAAACCAAAGACAAGAATTTATATGAAAAAGAACCATCTTTAGAAACTCTTATTAAGCATGTGCTAAATGCGCAGTCTGGCACACATGCAGACATGCTCAAGTCTGAATGTGCAACATAGCAAACAAAATTTGGGGCTTTTTTAATGTTAACAAAATCATTGTACTTGTTTCTTACATACCACAGTAATGGACATCTTATCATCATGGGAGGATGAATACTTAAACAAACAGAGTATGAGTGATCTCAGATAACACAGAATAAGAATGCATGTTTTTGTACGTTACCGTCTAATCCACATGCCTGTGGAGCAGCAACATGAAAAATCAGCAAATCAGATATTTCTGTAATTAATGCTTTTTATCATGATTAATGATCTCAATGGCCATTTTAACTAAAATGGATAGTAATTCAAGCAACCTATTTAAATATATATGCATGAGAGAACTATGAGTGTTACCAAGTACATTTTTATTTCAGAACTTTCATTTTAAAAAAAATCTTGCTGAGCCACTTTATTGGTAGTAGAAGTGAAGGGAATGGGTAAAATCAGCAAGGATATTCTGGTACTTTCAGTAGTTACTTTAGATTGTATTGCAGGTAGGTTTTTCTTTAGTACTTAACACAGTACGTGAGTTGCTTCAGTTATTGCAATGGAATCAACTACCATTTGGGCTCAAACCTTCAAACTCACTAAGGCGTGCAGGTATGTGAACCCCTAGATTACAACAAAACAGATATCTCATGAATTCAGTGATGACTTTTATTTTAAAACCCACAGAATAACATAAACAGTATATGAGAAGTCAGTAAGTTCTACTCAAGGAAGGACTGCAAAATCAAACCCATCATGTTTTCCATGTTAAGGTAATTTTAGTCATTGAATAATTAAATTCAGTTACGGTCCTGCTAAAATGGAACACAGTGTGGATAGTAATAAAGTAAAGTTAAGGAAAGTATTTTGTTTTACTTTGAGCTCTCTCTACAGTCATGTTAAAGATTACTTTTAATTTCAAATTTAATGGAGAAAGATTGTATTTTAAGCTGAAAAATGACTGATAGCTATGCCCTTGAAATAAAGTGCAGCAACTCTGTATACCATTTGTAACTAAGGCATGTATTTACTGCAACATTATATTTATATTGGTGGAATTTAAAAAAGCATATATTTTATTTCTTTCTCCCATTGCTGCCTCAGCAGTAAATGCTACAAAATTAATTTTTGAAAATCTGGACAAAATAAAGCATCATACATCTTTTCCCTTCTGCAGGAGGGCGAGTTTCTCAGTTACATTCTCACCTCTTTGTACCTCCTTACTGGGGCTGAAAAGAAGACCAGCCTATGCACCTTGTGTTGGAGAGTCTTGCTATGGAGGTAGAACGGGTTTCCTTGGCACCAAGATATGCTGGGATTCCAAACAGGGGAAGAGAAGAAGAGGCAGGGATTGTAGCTAGAGCATGCTGGCCTCTGCTAGGCTTAGCTGGCATCCAGTCCTGGTGGTGGAGGTTCTGTGCGGCACACATCAGTCCTGAAAATGAAGGAGTAGTAACCAGTATCCTGACACACCTCTTCAGTCTTGCCTACAGACCAGAACTCCAAAGCAGCAGAGCATGCAATATCAAGTATTAAACACAGTGGAGTAATATTTAACTATTTTCAATACCGCCCACTAACTTGCAGTAAGACAGTCTCCTATGCGGACTGAAGAAAAAAAGATTCCAGTAACTCATATTTGGTAACCCATTTGCTTGACCAAGAAGAGGCACCATTGCACCAATCATTTTCAAATACAACATAAAACTTGCGCTGCAATTTCTGACCCACACCTGTACTAACTGGAATAAAATTATCCTCTTTGTCATCTCCCAGAAGCAATTTTTTGGGAGCAAAATAAATGATTAGGACAGAAGACTGGGAATCAGGGTTCTTGTTTCTTTTCCATCTTGTGCCACTCACTTGCTGAAAATCTGCTGTAAACATACCAATCCTATTCATGTTAAGGATTTAATTCTCAATCTAGTGTTTCTGATTTCATATTTTGAATGGGGCCCCAAAAATGATAATAGAGCTTATTTAAGAATAAATTTGCTAATTTATAAAGCAGTTGTATTGTGAATAGTTATAAAAAGACTACCATGTAAAATTCAAACCAGAAGTTCAATATGTAGCAGATCACTCCTGAGCTAGCAACTCCTTGTTCCTTCTCAAATTAATAAAAGAGCTAGAGAAGCTGAAGGCTCAAAGGAGAATAAAAGTAGTAGTCTGACACCTTTCAGATTGTAATATTCTGTTTAATGGACAGAACTCAGTGATGTCTTGTCTCTGGAAAAAATTACGCTCCAGTGAAAACAAGAGGAGTTTTGAAAGAGGCCATGATTTTTACTGTAACTGGAGGACCTCCTCAGATAAAGTGTCATTTTAAAGGCATAATATACATATGAAAACTTATAAGGCATCAAAATATTTTGCCTATCTACAATAAACTAGAACTTCTAACATTTGTTCATAATATTCTATAAGAACATCACCTAATCAGGATTTCATCTTTGCCTGACTTACAATTTCAGTTTGTTCCTTGCATTTTGCCCAAAGAACCAGTGATGGCTCCATTGTGTTGTTTTGGTTCTTCTCCTATTTTGCATTTACATTTTCCTGATGAATGGTCAGACGATGCACAGGATCTGTACTATTTGATTCTGGTAACTGGGTGATGAGAAATTTGGCCTTTGATCTTTTCAGAAGTTCAGGTGAGCATTGTCTTTGATCCATGTACATTCACACTTTGCTTCAAATTTAGAGTTTCAAAATATGAACATGAAAATCAGGCAAAAACCATACACAGACACACACTTTTATTTACTGTTTCCAAGAGGTTGAAGAAAAAGCAATAGCCATAACCATTCTTTTCCCCAATCCAGTTCACTACTTCAAGTGAACACTTAAAATGAGAGCCCTAAATGTCAAGAGACTTGAGCTAAAACAGAACAGTGGGAGAATGCTAATTAAAGAGTTCATTGCCTTCTATTAAAAACACTCAGTCTCCAACCCCTGGACATTTAAATCTCTGGACTATTAATTTGGGCACCCCTCCTGACCTCAATTACTATGGTAGCTCTTGGAGGTGAAGTTTCTCAGGTTTCTCAGGGAGAATCTTTCTCTTTTCTTTTGCCATTGTCAGTCAAACATTTCCAAAAATCAGAAGCAATTTTCATTGATCCCAATAACAGATACAGATGGAGACAGGAGTCACACATCCTATTATTGTTGTTGTTGTTGTTTTAATTATAACAACAATAACCATGGCAACTACTACAAATGCCAATTATGGCCAGGTTTGTAGAAACACAAAATTGTGTCCTCTGACCATTAACGTACTCAGACTGCAGAAACTGACTCCTACCTACCTAGTTTTTTATACTACGTGCATCATCATAATTTGTGAGCATCAAATAGTGTGTTTAGTATTTTTTCCTACATGAACTTCTGTCTGCATTACAGTAACACCGTTATGACTGGTGGTGTTTAGCAATGACATGAGAAGCTGAACAAAGCATTGGAAGTAAGCTATGCTTTTTACCCTCATTAATGACTTTCAGTTCAGGGTTGAGGAATACCAGTAGACAAACTGTCTATGCTTTCCAAAAAAGTTACAGTAAAAGGCCATGTCCCAGAGACAGTCTTTTGATTCTGAAGACAAACCCACTCTTCTCTTTGTATACATATTCTGACATCTTAACCCTTTTATGAAGGCAAACTTTAAGAGGTTTTTTTTACTCTATACTTTATGTTATATGGAAAATCCCATAATATATCACACAACAATCAATGCCACATTAATAACAATCGTTGATAGTGATGGCTATAGTTAAAATTGCTTAACAGTTTCAGCTGTAAGTCCCTTTTCCACCTTTC